CTGGGTCACGAACATTTTTCTGGGTCACGGTAAAAACTCCTCTGGGTCACAGTTTTTTTCTGGGTCACGGACCATTTTACGCGCATGCGCAATGGCATTTTTGAATAATTTCAACTGTGAACAGCCTAGGGTGCATGGTTTATGAAAAGGTAATGATTTCTAGGAAATCAGTTGTGGGACAAATATCGACCCGAATCTCCACGAATTTTGACGGGTACCCTTATATTGTCCTGTCAACCAATGACCTAGGACCTTAAAATTGGGTATCATCGACCTCCGCTCGTCACGGGCAACACGCTCTTTTTCCGCGAAGCTCTAGCTCGATCAGGGACTGAACGGCAAAGGGTTCCAACGGACCCTCCTCCACCCCCCCCCCCCTTTACGATAGACGCTGGCAAAACACCAATATGGGCGAGGATGAAAATACAGCTGCTGTCATAAAAATTCAGCTTGAATCAAACGTCAGGCTTGCCAAATTTCAGCTCTCGCAGCTATCAACAAAAATACCACAAACGGGACCAAACGGTGAAAATGGCAAGAAAATCTAACGAGCCGTTTTCGAGGGTATCAAGATGACCCAAATCGCGGCAGAAACGCTAAACACCCCCCTAGAGAGGTAGCTCAGGTTGGGATTTTCAATAGAAGATCACAATTCTAAAGAATAGTGATTTTCTAATTGAAAAGTCCCAACCTTCGGAGAAACATGTGGAGGCGCCCCCCCCCCCCCCCACCTCTCCTCTCGGCCACTGCCAGCGAGGTTTTAAGCGTATCATACGCGTTACAAAGCATCATATCAAGATGACACACCCCAGCAGCCATATGCACTGAACAAAAACTTATTACCCACGCTAGTCTATCGGCACCATAGCACATGGTCGAGACTGTCGTCAGCCACGGACCCGCACTCGACCAGCCCTCTGAGCCCGTTGACTGCGGATGACCTTGACATGTCAAGCCTGATTGGCGGTCGGCTGCTGTCGTGCGGTCGTTACACGCGGAGGGGAGGGAGACACAAAGCTCTACGTTATAGCTGACCTCTGACCTTTCCCTGCGCCCTGGTCACTGACCCCGCTCCATGTCGCTGGGCGGTGGCATGGCGGTGGAAACCGGTTCTAGCCTCTACACATGCCACCATTCTAACCCTCCCCTCCCCACGCTACTACGCGGCGTGGAGTACGCTCGTGCGTAACTGGGCGGAGCAAGGGGTCACGCGATACAGGGGCGGAACTGGTTGCCCTCCCGCTCGCCGAGCGACCAACGACTAATACCCTGGAGAACCGTACAATGGTTAGCCGTTTGTTTACATTGGTGACCTTGACAGATGACGTCAGCGGGTGTCTACCAATCTTCGCCAATATGAATCTTCCGAGGATTTTAAACTCTAAGGCAGTTTGGTATTAACCTTTAGGCTCCCTTAGAGCCTAAAAAAGATAATTTACTGCACAGCAAAGTCATAAAAATCAACAAAACCTTGACACCCTGTGACGTCATCTGTCTCCTGAGCCCTCCCTATGTGGCAGCATAGAACCGTAACCCCCTGATTAATACATAGTCATACAAATATCTAAAATAAATCTTACTCAACGTCATCAAACTGTTATCTCGGAGCTAGCCTTGGTTGTCTCAATCAGGGTGCACAGTGCAATATCAATACATCGAAATATTGCAAAAATTACTCCCAAGTCCCAGCTCCAAAACTGCGTGCGTGAATCCTGTGCCGTGGCCAGTGACAAAATGTGACAAGGGACAAATATGAAGTTGTGAAATGCACGGTGACTGTGAAATGAAGCCGTGAAGTCAACGTCTTGGTCAACGTGAAGCAAAGCACACCAAGATACCTATAAGAAACTTCAGCACACTGAAGCAAGCACTGAAGTTGAAGTAACCAAGGCCGAAGTAACGATGCATGTGATGATGCATGTGCGAAATATGGCACCACGACAAATTTAACGAACAAATGACGAAGATTGGCAGCCAGAAGATGTTCTAAAACTAGACAATCAAAGTGTCTTGATTTGAAGATAAGTTGCAGCAGTAGCCAATCAGCTTTAAGCAGAAGGTTTCAGCGTGCGCACAATTGGTCCGATCGCGTTTAAAGAACAGTTTTATGCTGTTTCTCGTTTGGTTCCTTGTCAAGCGTGACGGGACGACGGGACTATCAAGTGACTATAGTGTTTTTATATATTGATATACCAATGTAATTACGGTGGTTATGGAAAGGTAATTAATTGCTCATTATCATGATTGAAAAGTCAAAACTGAAACTGTGATAAGTTGATCATAAAGCTAAGCAACATATGTAGGTGCCAAGGTGGTACTTGAAATGATAACCTAACGTTTTTGAAAGGGCCTTAAGTTACCGTATTTTATGTAATATCAGCCATCAGGTTATATCAATAAATATAAATCAATCAATCAATCAAATCAATCTATATGTAATACTAGTTAAATTCAAAATGATAAATTTTAATTCCATAAATTGCTAGGCTACAAAAGATTGACAGAGGCTGCAGATGAGATCCTTTTGATAAAGGCCGAGGGGGAGGCACAGCATAGGTATATCTTATTTTGATTTATGATTATTGTGGTGTGTGAATTAAGCATGGAGTGGTGCTGACTCTAGCAGTAGTTATGAGTATCTGGCAGAGATCCGAGAGGTAGGTGCTAGGGGTAAATATTTACTTTAGGACCGGCACACTTTTTCAAAGGGAAATTTTCGACAATCTTCCATTATTTGACATCCTTGATCAAGAAATGATACTTACATGTCACCAAAACTGCAAAAAGTCACACAAAAACTTGATAAAATCCAGCCATATCACCCCGCGTCACGTAACGTACACCGACGAAATTATACGAATGCGGCGATTAGGATATAAACAACGTGTTTGCGTCGTTGCATTTGCGAAAAGGAAAAATGTGTGCATGTTTAATTCAATGAAAATGACGTCATAATACCAAACAAAATAGGGGAAATGTTGGGAACCGGGGTTTTTGGGTGGGGGAGCAAATGGGGTAGGATAGCAAATTAAACACGGAAAAAAATTTTCAGAACATAACCTAACCTTACCTAACCTGACCTACTGATATTTGCCTACCCGGGGATAAGGAAAAAGTTGCTCGCATGAATAGATTGCAAGCAATGGTAGGTCAAATATTGGTAAATGTCAAGTTTAAGTCCTAAGCAGATTTCATTGAGAAATTTTTCATATTCTTACATTATTTGACATCCTGAATCCAAAAATGATACTCATTTGTCTCGCAAATAAAAGAAAAAAACATAATCAAACCTGACCTAACCTTACCTACTTACCTATAACCTACCAACCTACAACCTACAAACCTACCCTAACCTAACCTAACCTACAAACCTACCTACCTACAACCTAAAACCTACAAACCTACAACCTAACCTAACCTAAAACCTAAAATTTTTGCTGTTTCATATTCGTATCAACAGCGTCACAATTGTAGTTAGGACCTAAACTTGACATATACCCAAATATTTTTAGGTTAAGTGATTGTGCATTAGGCTTCAGGCCTTCGGCCTGAAGCCAAATACACAACCACTTAAAGGTAGTGTGCCACCTTTGAAAGATTTCCCGTTTTATTTTTCCTAGGATAAGAAGCTTCTGTTTTTACCTAATATCGCAAAAAAAAAAAAAAAAATGGGCCTGGAATAGTGCCTTTTTCGCCTAAAAGTTTATCGGTTTTTAGATATGTATAACAACTGTAGTGGGCTCACCTGCAAACAGGCGTCGGGCAACAATCGCGAATGCGGCGCACTTGTGACAATAAGCAAAGGTCATTATAGTGTTACGACCATACGACGTACGGGAATGAGTTATCAGCTGTCTAATCGTAGACAACACAATGTCGAGCCTTAAACTGTAAGCCTGTATTGGTATTGTTTCTTAAATTTGGCTGTCGAACATTAATTTGTGGTTTGAAATATGATTTTATGTAAAATAATTGATATGAAACAGCCGTCTCTTAAGTTATGACCCCATTACACCACACGCAAGTGGCAGAAATGACAATGATCAGCTGACGCATTTTTCTTGGCCGAAGTCAGAGCGCGCGGCCCGACGCACCACGCGTATTTGGAAATTCCGACCTCGACGAGCATCAGAAGCCACCTAACAGGCGTGTTCGAAACCGCAGGAGATGATGATGAACGGGTTTATCGAAGCTTGATTGGATGAGCCTATCGGTAATAGCGATTTTAGTGTGTGCATTTATTGTTCATAGTGGTGTGAAATGTGGTTGGGGTACGACCGACAACCCGTCGGGGCGAATTTCGCACTGGGGTACTCAAAATTTGAAGAATTTAAGACGTTTCCATAAGTTTTGAAGGTATGGATAAGTTCTAAAAATCCGGTTCTCCTTATCCGGGTCATTAACTCCATATGGTCCAAGAAAGCTGGCACACTACCTTTAACCTAAAAATATTTGACCTACCATTGCCTGTAATCTCTCCTAAGGCATTGCCTTCGGCACTGCCGCTGCTTCGCGACGAGAAATTTCATGACGTCACTTTCCTCACAGTTGAATATCATCGTTAGTATGTATTCACTAAACCTTGGAGCGCAGTGCGTGGCCGGTGGAGTACTGGGTGGAGTACGCGCGGTCGGTGGGGATCTACGGGACGCCGGTGAAAACAGGGCGCCGGAGGGCATATTAGTCACGTGACATTTGGAAGTTCTCCCCCTTCACGGGCCTTCTAGATGTAAAACATCACGTGTAAATTTCACGAACCTTGATCAAATCGCCCCAGGCGCCCTGTTTCCACCGTCGTCCGATCTACGGCGGTGACGGTAAATATTGTATTGGCGCATTTAAACTTGTTTGTGCCATGAATGACTATCAGCTATGAAATCAAAAGGTCAAATTATGTCATGTGATATGCTTCTTACTATCACTTGGGGTTCGCGACGAAAGTAAAGGCTGCCGGTCCTAAAGTAAATAAATACCGGTGCTAGGTAGGGTGTAGGTAGGTACCTAATATGTTGAACCATTGCAGACTGCTCACTTAGTACTGACTTTGGCTTATGTCATCAGATTCAGGACTTTTTTGGCCTGACCAGGTAAGCAAAACAAAGTGATTTTTTTTAACCACTTGCCAGTGGTGTAGAATTGTCTTGGTTTGAGCTATATTATTTGGTTTGTCAATGCTCAGGAAATTTGGCTGGTACCATAATACCCTGATATCACTAATGCCCTTTTCAACATTCCTCAGACTCTGCTGACAGTTCACTCCAGGCAGTGACATTTCCTGAACTCTGCCATGGGGTGGATACCTGTGGCCGCCTCTGCAGGCCGCACATTGAGCGGCCTGCTGCAGACTCAGTGCTGGCCTCTCTGTCTGCGTTTGGCCAGCTCGCGGCCGACGCCCTCGCTGGACCCCTCTCTGCCGACGGACGACATCGAGTCGCCGTCGCGGCGGAAGGCGTTCGCCGCGCACCTGAAGCGGATGCGGAGCCGGGCGCAGGCGCTGCCGCAGCCGCTGGTCGACGCCCTCCGCCGGTCCGTCGATGAATTCTCGGTGGCCGACCTGCGGCGGGACGCCGCGGCACTCAGCTACCGGCTGGCGGCGCGGCGCCCGCCCACCGAGGACGCCGAGATGCAGGCGCGCGCGCAGGCTCTCGAGCAGCAGTACATCAGCCAGCGTGAGCAGGTCAACGAACAGAAGCTGAAACAGTTTGTCATCCAGCAGCTGCGGCAGCAGGTGTACCACTGGCAGCCGCTGGAGATGGCCTCGGCCTACGAGGCGGCCGTGTACGCGGTGGCGCGGCTGGCGCCCGAGTTCGCCTCGCTGCTCTACTGTTTCCGCCAGGTGGCGGCGCGTGACCCGGCGTTCGGGCCGCAGGCGGTGCTGAGTTACGGCAGCGCGGTGGGCGCGGCACTGTGGGCGGCCCGCCACCTGTGGCCCGACAAGGTGGCAGAGTTTGTGGGCATCGAGCGGCGGCGCTACCTGTCCGAGCTGTGCGCGCTGCTGGCGCACGGCGGCCGCGCCGACGCGCCGCCCGACCCGTCCGTCTTCCTGCGGCCGCTGCTGCCCTCCTCCAGCCGGCTCCGGTACCCGCTGGTGGTGGCGGCGCACGCGCTCATGGAGCAGCCGTCGCAGAGCGAGCGGCTCGAGCTGGTGTGCTCGCTGTGGGACCGGACGGCGCCCGGCGGCCGGCTCATGCTGCTCGAGACGGGCACTAACGCCGGCTTCCTGCTGGTGCTGGAGGCCCGGGACCTGGTGCTGCGACTGGCCGCGCAGCGCGACGGCGCGCCAGTGCACGTGGAGGCGCCCTGTCCGCACGACGGCGAGTGTCCGCGCTTCAGCCGCAGCCTGACGCCGTGCCATTTCCGCGTGCCGTACTGGCCGCTGGCGCTGGGCGGCGCGGCGCCGGCCGAGGTGCGCCACGCGCCGCTCTCGTACGTGGTGCTGCGGAAGGGCGCGCGGCCGGCCGGCGACCGTCAGTGGCCGCGCGTGGTGCAGCCGGTGCTCTGCCGACACAAGCACGTCATCTGCCGGCTCTGCACGGCGCGGTGAGTCCAGCAATAGGGTACAGGGGAGATCGGCATTCTGTTTAGTTTAGTTTAGTTTATTGAGAGCATCATCAACGGGCATAGGAGGCCCAATTACAGATGAAGTCGAAGGTTAAGGTTAAAAATTCGGGTCAGATGTTTTTTGTGCAATGGCGTGTACCAAGAATTTTATGCCATCACTTAAATAATGTGCACCAAGTTGTTACCTATTTGTGGGTTGTAAAATGTCAAGTGATTCGGAAATTGAGTGTGGTTTATTATGTTCCAGTGGAGGTTCATCATGCTTTTCATTACTTAAGTAACTGAATTTTTAAAACGGTACCTACGGCAGACGGTATTCAAGTCGGGTCTCCTAGCACCCCTTACACAGTGTGGACTCTCGGCGCTGCGCCCGGAGTGTGCTGACCTCCTCTCCGCCGGCAGGGGTGCGCTGGAGGAGGTGGTGGTCACCCGACGGCGGCACGGCCCGGAGCTCTACCAGTGCGCCAAAAAGGTCAGCTGGGGCGACACCATGCCGGTGGAGCTGCGGGACAGCCCGCCGGACAGGGCCGGGGACCGCTGAAGGTCGGCCGGGTTAGGGAGCCAGCTGGGGAAGGGGGCGGCTGGAGACGGACAGCAGGGACGGGCGCCGCTGGTCCCTATGGGAGCGGAAACGTGAGCCTGCTATCTCTTGCGCTGTTTCCGAGTTTGGTGTGATGGTGATCCGTTCATCGTCGCCCGTGTGCTGTGGTATACAAGAATGCTTCCTTAGTCGTACCGGTACTTGATGCACTGTTATTTGTGTACTTTTGCGTGCGTGTTCGTGTACTTGTGAAGGAAAGGTCATGGAAGAGTGACTAGTGAGTCACACGTCATCATCATTGATCAATGATCTACGATCATCGTTATTATGTCGCCTCGCCATTTTTAGCAAGGATTGCAATAGCCTATTTTTGCCATTAATATAATTGAAGAAAGGTAGCTATGCTCGTTTTGGAGAGGTAATTGTAGAATGACTTCGTTTAGACCTTTCGTATAGACTTAGGCCGACACTAGTTATTAGAAAATTACTTTCGCTATTCAGTATTCGGTATCCCAATGTACCGTATTGATTGCTAAAACCCTCTTAACTTTATCTCTTCGGTCATATACAACCATTCATGACACGTATTTTACTCTTTTTTCTTAATCCTGACTGGTAACTTTATCTCTAAGCTGCATATCCAGTGAACTCACGCGAATGGCGTCGTTGCGTTTACAAGGTAACACAAACGACGAGGAAGGCGATTAGTAATAAATCCGAGGCTCATCCATAGTCTCATAAGTACATTCATTTATTACTTTCAGCACAGGTACGGCCAATGATGTCCGGTTCGTACGTCATAACGGTACGTGTCACGCTCAGACAATCCGCACAGAGCGCTGGCCAATGTCATCAGCAACAGGCGTAACAGTCGCGATCTATAACAAATGAAAAATACGCGCGATATCATTTCAGGCGTCCTGAACTAGCAGGATTCGTGTGAATTGCCTCAGTTAGCTAGCTATACATACAAATTTGTATTGTGCGGCGCCAGTGTGATAATATAAAGCATTCGTCAGATTTTGTGACTTGTTACAATGCTTAGTCCACGGGCTGTGTTCATTGTTTGTCCGATGACGGTTTAAAATAATCAATTATCGACTAGGATAAAAGTTGAGAATGAGCCACAAACGGGTGACTTCCTTTGATATTGTGCATTGTGCGCCATGCATGTCAGAGAGTGCCTAATGCCTGACGACGGCCCTGCCTGGGGCGAACCGCAACCCAAGCCGGCAGCTCATTTGGGCGTGCTACATCAACGCGCATACAAACATTCCGTTACATAGTGGCTGAACCACCAACGTACGCCGAAAAATAGCTCATTCGACACAGCAAGAAATAAAAGCTAGGCTTATTTCGAACATCGGTACACAGTCTACATTTTGATATATTCCGGTCGACTCGTGCAGCTGACGACCACATAATGTCGGTAACGAGCGGCGCTACACGACTACTCCACACGCACGTGACAGGGGGTTAGCCGTGCTGGCGACCGGCGGCTTTCTGGGCGGTGACGCAGCGGCGAGAGGTCGGGGACGCGGTACACTACAGACGAACCGCCGGCAGCCACTGTGCTGTGACCTCGAACACTTTGTGAAAGGTGCAGGCAGATGACTAGACACGCTTTAACCATAGAATCTCTGCAGTCTGCACCATCACTGCACCTTAGCCCGCTTCAACGCGCTACGTCTCGCCGGTTTCGGTCATTCACAAGGGACAGGACAGCGGTGCTTCGGTCAGTTTGGGGACCGACCTGGTACATCTCGCACAGTGTGCGTGCAGACACTCGTGGCTATCTCTCAATCTTCCAATCAAAACATCATATATGCTTTTTTCCGTTCCCGAGAGTTTCGTCTTTATATCACCACCAGCCACCAATTGTCAAGGGAAGAAAGGAGTACTCATTCTACATATATGTTCGCCCACTCACCCTCTGACTCTTTCTTATCCCCCTTCTCTTCATCCCTTTCTCACATCCCTCTTCCCATCTCTGCCTCTGCCTCTCACGAGGGGCGCGCTCGCCTCACTGCCCGGCCGTCGTTGAGCGTCACGCGCACCCTGACCTCGTCCTGCTCTGCCTCTCCGTCGCCGCTCTCCTCCTGCTCCTCCTGTTCGAGGAGCCGCTGCTCGGCGCCGCCGGGGCCCGGACTGGGCGGCATCATGGACTGGTACCAGTCGCGGTTGTCCTCCAGCGTGTCCAGGATGTGCTGCGCGTCCGGGTACACCAGGTCGGCCCACGTCTCCCACAGAGGGTGCACGATGTAGTCAATAAAACCCACCTGAAGGCGGAGGGACGGTGAAGAGGAGGTGAAGTCAGCAATGTCAGCATGTGGAGTAGCATTGAAACTTTGGTGCGCTTTCATATTAATATTGCATCCTGTCATGTTCAGTTCAGCTCTGTGTCAGTTCATGAGTTAACCGATTACGGAGCCAGTATTACGAAGTCGACGTCTCACTCTCACCTGGGACTTTTCGACGGTTGCGTTGTATCTGTCGCACATGGGTGATATGTCGAGGCCGTTCTCTCGCTCGCGGTCTCCCTGGTGGAAGAACTCCTCCATGACGAGGGCCACCCAGCGCCGGTAGGTCTCCAGCGGCCGGGTGGGCCCGCTCAGGTCCGAGCAGTGCACCATGCTCTGCAGCACCTGGGGACGCGGAGGTCATAGTGGGGTCACTGGGGTCAACAGAGGTTACAACGAGGTAGAGCAGGGATCACAGCGAGTTTCGCAGAAAGGGTGGACGTATGTCAGAGCAAGGATCACAGAGCAAGGGTCACAGCGAGGCCAATGGAGGTTACAGGCACCACAAAGGTAGGAAGGTTACCTGAGTTTATTGAAGAGCTATGAGATCAGACTAGGCTATAACTAGTGCTGCACAATTATAGCCCATCGCTAACTGGACTTAAAATTGGCATATTTATTGCTCATATCAGTATGAAGAGGTCGTTACAAATATTTATCGCGGTACCAGTTGCACTAGCAGGACGGAAAGACTGCCCTACTCTCGGCTGTAGCGGTACCTGAATGCGGTCGTTGTAGTTGTCGAGCAGCAGCAGTCCCGACCCGGCCACCTTCTGGGTTTCCACCATCGTCTTCAGGTCGGCCAGTAGGCTCATGTGCTTGGACATGTCCGTCGCCAGAACCTGGACAGCCGATGGAAGGTCAATTGCCCACCCTGGTGGTTGCGACGGTCTGGAGAACGGAATTATGGCTGGTTTACAGCCGAGAAGGTCTTAGCTGTACAAATGAATAAGTGCGATCGACATATAGGTAATTTGGAGATACCTACTTTGTGGCACATGAAATGTTTATGCCAATGATATGTGCCTGATGCGTTTTCGTGGGCTTACCGCGTTGGTAGCAGCATATGACGTTAAAACCCCTTCAAAGCCTCACTCAGTGCGTCTGCTAATTGTGAACTGACCATGTCGATGACCATTTTGCGGAGCGACAGCCGCTGTTTCCGGGAGAGGCTGGCGAAGATGTCGCAGTTGTCGTTCTGCAGCAGTTTGAAGGCCACGGCCAGGTGGTGGTTCTCCAGCACCGACTCGTCGTTATACATCAGCGCCAGCTCAGAGCCTGCACACACAAACGCACCCGGCAGAAATGTCAGTTTAATGATGTTAACTTTACATACCGGTCTTGCACTTAATCTGCATCGAACAAAAAGCATGGGTCAACTGACCACCGTCACCACTCACCTTTCTACTTTCAATTTTTCCTTGTCTATCTTTATCGCTCAGTCTGACATAGAGCGTCTATCGTTATCTGCCCTGACGTCAAACATGTGCGAGAAACCACCGCATCAGCCATCAGCTTCGAAGACGCTAGTCCACACAAGGCTATTGACCCACGGATGTCTGGCGCTCAGCGCCTTATGCATGCTGTGCCGCATGACACAATAGTTACAACAGCCCACATATGTCCCTGGCGTCTAGCGCCTGATACATGCTGTGCCGCACCACTTGGCAGTTGGTTATATAGCCCACAGATGTCTCTGGCGTCTAGCGCCTTATGCATGCTGTGCCGCATGACACGATAGTTGCCACAACAGCCCACAGATGTCTCTGGCGTCTAGCGCCTGACGCACGGATTACGTGACAAAAGATCGTAAGACAAAAGATCGTATGGAAAAAGATCGTACGAAAATGATCGTAAGATAAAGATCGTATGTTGTAAAAGATCGTACGGTAAAAAGATCGTAAGCAAAAGATCGTAAAGCAATTGATCGTATGCAAAAGATCGTACGAAAACGATCGTAAGATAAAGATCGTATGTTGTAAAAGATCGTACGACAAAAAGATCGTAAGCAAAAGATCGTAAAGCAATTGATCGTATGAAAAAGATCGTAGGAAAATGATCGTAAGATAAATATCGTATGTCGCAAAAGATCGTACGACCAAGGATCGTAAGCAAAAGATCGTAAAGCAATGGATCGTACAAAAAAGATCGTAGGAAAATAATCGTAAGATAAAGATCGTATGTTGTAAAAGATCGTTCGACAAAAGATCGTAACGTTACGTTCGTAAAGTAAATAATCGTATAGAATAGTGTTGTTACGAGCGAGCGAGCGCAGCGAGCGAAGCGAAGTCTTTTGAATATCACGGGAAAATCTCAGTATGAGCGGCCCGGCCCGGCCCGGCCTGTAACGCTTTTGAGAGGCTTATATCTCAGCAACCGCTGAACCGATTGGCCTGCGGTCTTTTTTGCTGGGTAGCCCCATCCCTTCTTCCCCGTAATTGACTACTTTTGATACATCTCAGTGGCCGTCGTGGCACGTGCCACGTGAGAAGTCAAGGGTGTTCAAGCAGTTTTGCAAAAGTAATGATTTTGAGAGGCCCATATCTCAGCAGCGGCTTGAGCGATTGTCTTGCGGTAATTTTTATAGGGTAGCTGCATCCCTTCTACCAAAGGTCGGATACCCTTGATCTATGTGAGTGACCCCCAATGCACGTGCAAAATACAAAAAGAAGAGGTGCCAAATTTGTTCCCATTTCAGTAACTCAGTAATTACTGGGGCGATTTCGAACCAATGATGGACAATTGACATCTTTAACCGGCCTTCGATAACAATGACTCCTATAACTAGGATTGGATTGAAACTAGGATCCTATAACTAGGAGAATTGCGACTTCGATAGTGATAACGCGATAAACATCTGTTGATGACTCGTAAAGCGATGACGATTCAATGTGAAAATGTAACAGTGCGAAGGAAAAAGTATTTTAACGCCGTTTACTTCAGCCGCTTAAGCAACATTTTAACCTTCCAGGCGGTGGGGGGTGGGGGGGGGGGCTGGGGGGGGGGAACATGGGTTTAGTTGTATTCACTTCAAATAGGTACATGAAAACGGCAGCACATACATTCATTTATTCGGCACATATACAACGCGTTGCTTTTAGGTGTCATTGAGCCATCTAAGCTCTGAAATAACATCAATGTATGGTCGAGCTTACGACGGCCACTTACTACGCGAACACAGAAATTGATAAGCTTTGTATGCGCTGGAGTTGGGCTGCACCATGTGAATACCATATTTTGACTGTACGATCTTTATCTCATACGATCATTTGGCGTACGATCATTTTCCTTGAC